ATGCAACTGTTAGTGATGACTTCCCTGCTCCAGTACGTCTTACTATACCAACCTGACAGAGAGAGAGAGATAAAGAGAGGATTCAAGAGATATACTGACCTTTTGACCTCCAGGAATATCACATGATATATCCTTGAGTACGAGGTCCAGTCCAGGACGATAACGTGTTGAATAATGATCAAACTGTACTCTACCTTCAACTGGCCAGTCAGTAGGTACACGATGATCAGGTATAATATCAGCTGCCTAGCAATCAGTAACAATCAGTAACACGTATATATTAGTCTATCTATTACTTCAGTTGGTGTTTCAGAATATTCTTTAGTTCTCTCAACTGCTACTATGTTAGTCTCTAATTGACTGGCCATCCTTACAATACAGTTTAAGCAAGAAGTTATCTAAGGGCATATGAGCATGTGCATCATTTTAAAAGTGTTATTAATGTCACTCTCACCTCTAGCCCATAGCTAACAGACAATCCAGTCAACCCACCATTAATGTGACCAAATATCTGTGGATAATTCCGTTGAAGGGCAGCAAACAGAGCTGTAAAGAATATAACCAAATTGCCAAGAAACTCCAGCCTAATACCTAACCACCTAATGACAATAATGTGTACACTATATACTTATATTACATATTATATATTCTAGGAATCCCAAGGTAAAAAGGGATATCCCTCAAAAAAATAAATATCAATTTTAATAGAAATTTATTTTTTATTTATTATCCATTATCTAGCGTGTACAGATGACCTTTTAGTGTCCATTTCCAAGAAAGTAAGCCCTAAGTATAGGTCATTAATACACACAATCATAAGGATTGACTGAGGTGAGATAAGGGAAGGGCAGATTACCTGCTGTTACTCTTCTAAGAAAACTATACCATTAAGCTATAAATCATATTGTATATAAAGGGAAATATATCACAGGACGCTATCGCAGAAGGCTGGCTTTGCTAAAAAAACAGATATCTGAGCTGACAGATGCACTAACTGAGGTGGGAAAGGGGAAGGACAGTTGGCTGCCGTTGCTTTTCTAAGACAACCATGTCAAAGTGTACGAGACAAGTGATATAACAGGCTGGGATGGTCTATATAGCGCAGGCACAGCTGCAAAAGGCTAGCATTGTTAAAAGAAGAATGACTAAACTGTAAACAAGTTATAAGTGATTGGTACTTGATAGTGGGTGGGAGAAGAAACAAAGATCATTTTAATGAATTGAGAGCTATAATAACATTTCTTAATTTCCTCTTTCCCTATCTTTCTTTCTCTCTCTCTCTCATTACCTATCAGCAGAGACGTTAGGATAATAAGCAATCTGATTGAAGTCAACTCTTTCCTCAGACTGTAATTGGAACTGGTCCACTTTAAAATAAGCTCTGATACTGCTGGCTCCACTGATACTTTCTTGAAAGTGAGAGTATATAGGAGAACGGGATGATGACTCTAATCTCTTCAACTGTCTCGATGTAGCTACATAGAAACGCTATGCATATAAGAATAAATGATGGTGGTAGTAACTAGTGTGTGTTACCTGTACAAACCCATAGAAGATTATCATTGGTACTATTACTATTACAAACCATGGTGAAGCTATACTTATGATAATGACTGTAGCTAGCAGCTGGAACAGTATCCTTAGGAATGTATTTAATGCTCTTGGAATCCCCTCATCAATAATATTAATATCCTATGATGATGATAATAATAATAATAAATAATAATAATAATAATAATAATAATAATAATAATAATAATAATAAATGCAGTCAGAATCAGCTGACAACATAAGGACATCAATATGTATCAAAAAGTGTAATAAAAATTGGGGGTGATTTTGGAGCCATTTTTTGGAAAAAACCATGGGCTATAGCCTTGGGTATTTTTCAAAAATTGGCTGATTTTTAAAAATGGCCATAACCCAAAAAATATTTGTCGGAATTGGCTCAAACTTGCTACATAGCATAAGGACATTAATATGTATAAGAAAATGCAATAAAAATTAGGGGTGATTTTGGAGCCATTTTTTGGAAAAAAACCATGGGCTATAGCCTTGGGTACTTGTTAGAATTTTGGCATTTTCTAAAAATGGCCATAACTCGAAAAATATTTGTCGGAATCAGCTCAAACTTGCTACATAGCATAAGGACATTAATATGTATAAGAAAATGCAATAAAAATTGGGGGTGATTTCGGAGCCATTTTTTGGAAAAAACCATGGGCTATAAGCCTTGGGTATTTTTCAAAAATTGGCTGATTTTTAAAAATGGCCATAACTCGAAAAATATTTGTCAGAATTGGCTCAAACTTTCTGCATAGCATAAGGACATCAATATGTATCAGGAAATGTAATAAAAATTGGGGGTGATTTTGGAGCCATTTTTTGGAAAAAACCATGGGCTATAGCCTTGGGTATTTTTCAAAAATTGGCTGATTTTTAAAAATGGCCATAACTCGAAAAATATTTGTCGGAATTGGCTCAAACTTTCTGCATAGCATAAGGACATCAATATGTATCAGGAAATGTAATAAAAATTGGGGGTGATTTTGGAGCCATTTTTTGGAAAAAACCATGGGCTATAGCCTTGGGTATTTTTCAAAAATTGGCTGATTTTTTAAAATGGCCATAACTCGAAAAATATTTGTCGGAATTGGCTCAAACTTTCTGCATAGCATAAGGACATCAATATGTATCAGGAAATGTAATAAAAATTGGGGGTGATTTCGGAGCCATTTTTTGGAAAAAACCATGGGCATAAGGACATTCCAAAAAAATTTACTAGAAGTGAAGGAGGAGGTATGTGTGCAAGGTCGCGAAACCATAAAAAGGAAGAATTTTAACCACTTGTATTATTAATTAATTACACAGTACTTAAAATACGTATTTCCAGGATTCAATGAGACATCATTTATAGAGGCTTTGCTGATGCTCACCACAATAATAATAATAATAATAATAATAATAATAATAATAATAAATAATAATAATAACAATAATAATAAATTATCTAATCTTTATAGTTATACAAAATGAAACCATCATATACTGTAGAGGCTCTCTTTTTTACCTTTGAGAACCTGTTGAGTATTCTACCAAGAGGTGTAGTATCAAAGAATGACATTGGTGATCTAAGGATATTACTCAACATTCCATCATGGAGTTTAACTGATGCTTTAAGGGAACCAATGGCCAGTGAGAACGAAAACCCTAACACCGCTGCAGCTTGAAGTACACCAAACAACCCATAGACACCAAGATTAAGAGCACTAAAAATTAATATTAATTCAATATAGTCCATCATTCCTCCTTACAGATCATCATTATTAAAACTATCATTATCATTATTATTATTATCTTGGGTGTTGCTCCAATGAGCAAGCCATACATTCTGACCGACAGCTGCTCCACTCGACAACATGTAAAAGAATGTTATTAGCAGTGAAATGTAATATGTACAAGACTTGATGTAAGAATTCAGCACAGAAAGCCTGATCTATTAAATAAAATACAAAACTAAGACTACCTATACTTACTATAAGCTTACATTGCCACTCTTCACTTTCTCTTCTCCAGTTAGAAATGAGGATTTCTTTTTGCGTTCTTCATCTGGAATATATTTATAAAAAGGTAAAATAGAAATAGTAGTTGCAATCTAGCTAACCTTCCTTTGCTTCAATAGCAACAGTCTTCTCATCACCTTGAAAGTCAGTACCTATAAACATTTAATATTTTTTATTTTTAATCTTTTAAACTACTGGAGCTGTATCTCTTCTTTTCATCATCTTCTTCATTCCCTTTGTTAGTTCCATAGTTGTGT